GGCAGAGAGGGAGGAAGGGGGCTGGAGGTGGAAGGGAGTTGTGTGTGTCTTTTGCCAGGGAGAGGGCTGTCCCTGGAAGCCCCCCAATGGGTGTTTGGAAGCCCCCCCCATCTCTCCATCCCTCCGAAAGTGCCTCAGAGTCTGGAGAGACAGAGAATTGTGACTGATCACAAAATCTGTCAATTTTTTTTTTAAAGCACCCTCCCCAAGGAAAGCACTGAGGCAGCACTCTGAGAGGAGGAAAAATGAAGGATTTGCCCAAAACTTGGGGCGGGATGGGTAAAACCCCTCTGCCAAAGTTCCTCCCCTCCAGTGTGATGCTACTGAGATCTGAACATCGTTCACACTTGTTGTACACAATTGCAAAGCTATCCTTTTCAAAAGAACCACCAAAAGATCCGTCTTCAAAAAGAGTGATTCTTTTGCATTTGCCTCGCTTCGCCGCAATTCACCATGATTCAGAGGTCTGTACCGTAATTGTTTCCAGTGTGAACGAGGCACATATAAACCGATCAGCAAATCCATTTAAATCATAGTGGGAATGAGCCCGTTGTTGTGTGCCTTCAAGTCATTTGTGACCCATGGCAATCCTATCATGGGTTTTTTTTGGCATAATTTGTTCAGAGGAGGTTTGTGACTTGCCCAACATCACCCAGTGGGTTTCATGGCTGAAGGAGGATTGAACCCTGGTCTCCAGAGTTGTAATCCAACACTCAAACCACTACACCACACTGTCTTGGAGGGAAGAATACCAGCCAAATACAGGGTGACCAGATGTCCCAACTGCAAAGGAGGACAAGGCACCACAAAATGTAGGATGTTCAAGAAACACGTAGGATGTTCAAGAAAAATAAAAGCTAAAATATTAATTTAAATTCATGCTTCTTAATCATGCCCAAAATGGAAGACATTTTGAAAGTCCTCCTGGAGAGAAAGCTGAAATGTAGGACATGTCCTGGAAAAGGCAGACCTCTAGTCACCCTGACCAAATATATCTTGACCAAAAAGAGAGACAGATAGGAGTAAAGTTGATATATGCCAATAACAAGATGCCAGTCGTTCTTGGAAAGGAGTGTCAGCAAATCAGTGGGATTCCCTCCCAGATATATATGCCTTAAAAGCCTTTTAAGTGCTAAAAACTGAGCGAAGAAGACCACTAATGCTGCAATCCTTGAATTTTCTAGGCTGAAGTGAACAGAATAGAGCTTTTCCCCCAAGATGAACTGTCCTATGTGTCAATGTAAAATGTGTTGCTTTCAAATATAGTGGAAGGAGAAAGTTTTAAAAATTGGGGGTCCTTTTGAATCAAAAGGTTTGGTTTGCTGTTGGTTTGTCTTTCTTTTCCAGATTCAAGCAAATGCAAAACATGTAAAAGGAGGACTGGCCAGAGACATTTTGTTGCTTGAGGCAGACTTAGCAAACTAAGGTGCCAAATTACATCTGTACAAGAAGCAGAAAATCCATCCAGCGCCTCTCCCTGTTTCTACCAGCAGAAATACAGTAACACATTTAACTAATAATGTGTCACCTTTTTTGTGACAGCCACGAACAAAAGTTAAATTATTTCTCAGGGTATGTCCGCTGCATTGTCCAGTCAGTACTGCTCAAATTGGTCCAGAGAGGCCTTGATATCTGCTGGGTTTTGGTTCCAGGACACACACACCCATGGAGACCAAAATCCCTGGATGCCCAAGTCCCATTAAAGTAAACCCAATGGCATGGTAAAACGGTGTCCCTTATTTGTTGTTGTTGTCTGCCTTCAAGTCATTTCCAACTTATGGAGACCCTAAGGCCTATCGTGGGTTATCTTGGCAAGATTTGTTCAGAGGGAGTTTGCCATTGTCGTTCTTCCTCTGAGGCTGAGAGTGTGTGACTTGCCCAAGGTCATCCGGTAGGGTTCATGACCAAGCGAGGATTTGAACCCCGGTCTCGAGTTGTAGTCCAACACTTAAACCACTGTGCCACACTGTCTGTCCCTTAGATAAAATAGCAAAATTAAGGGCTTTTTTATTTTTAAAATTTATTTATTTATTTATTGAAATAATTTCACGCCATGGGCAACTGAATCCGTGGATATGGAGGTCCAACTGTACAATACTATACACACTAAACACAACTTGCAACAACAAATTTTAACATGCTGTACCCAGTCTGGGAGCCAACATGAGGGTCCATCTACACTGCAAAATTATTATTATATTATTCAGAAAAAAAAATAATTAACAACATATTTAACATGCTGTACTCCACCTTGAGGTGAGGTGGGACAGATATAAATAATAATAATTTATTATTTTTCAATTATTCTTTAAGGTGGGAGCGCCGCATGTTGAAATTTGTTTTTTGTTGTCATTATTTTTCTGAATAATGAATGATGCATCCCCATGTTGACTCCCAGACTACCCAAAGATGGTAAATAAGCCTAGAGGAGAATGGGAAGGCAGGGAGAGAGCCAGTCTTCGTGGCTTAAGGTCTACTTTTTCAATCCCTTTGTTAAGGTTCCAGAAATAGAGAAAAGAGACTTAGGATGCATCCACACTGCAGAAATAATCCAGTTTGACACCGCTTTAAGCAGGGGTAGGCAACCTTTCCCCTTTAAGGGCCGAGGGACTT